TGCAAAGGGAGGAGGGATGGGTGTGCAAAGGGAGGGAAGACGGGTGTGCAAATGGAAGGGGGATGGGTGTGCAAAGGGAGGGCGTGCAAATGGAAGGGGGATGGGTGTGCAAAGGGAGGAGGGATGGTGTGCAAAGGGAGGGAAGAGGGATGGGTGTGCAAAGGGAGGGGACTGGCATGCAAAGGGAATGGGGATGAGTGTGCAAAGGGAGGGTGTGCAAGTGTGCAAAGGGAGGGGGCACGGGAGTGCAAAGAGAGGAGGGGACGAACCAGTGCAGCTGAGGAATATGGAGATGGGGCCTCCTTAGCTGGATCCTTGCAAAGTCTTTTCCTCAAACATTTGTGTGTTGTGTGAGCAAAGAGAGGGGGACGAGCGTGCAGAGGGATCGGGAAGAGCCAGTGCAGCTGAGGAATACCGGGAAGGAACCTCTTTAAACTGGATCCTTGCAAAACCCTTCCTTTTTTTTTTTTTTTTTCTTTTCAGAAAAGTGCACCTTCTCCCCTTCTTTTGCAGTTGTGAGTCCAGATGGAGCACATGGACCTCGGAGGGCGGATACAACCCATCGGAAAGCCTCAACCTTGGGGGAAGCTGATCCGGCTGGGGCTGGAACAAGCCGAGCCCCACGTCTTGTTGCTGAAAAAAGAGTGGACCATTGGGAGGAAAAAAGGTACCGGTGCCCCCCCCCCGAACCCTCGCCTTGCCGCCGCAAAACGGGCAGCCCTTCCCGTAGAGGCGGCTGGGAAATTCTGTGCAAGGTTGGTGGCCCTGGGGAGAAACGGCAGGAGGCTTTGCTGGATGTTCAGGTGAAATTAACACATTTAGCAATGCTCGTTTCTTTCTCCCCTTCCTTCCCTCTCTCTCCAAGGTTGTGACTTATCTTTCCCTGGCAATAAATTGATCTCCGGCTATCACTGTAAAATAATAGTGGACGAAAAATCTGGTCAGGTTTTGCTACAGGATACCAGGTCAGCATTATTCTTATTTTTTTTCTGTAGTTTTGCGGGTGAAAACGAATGTTTCTCGGCCTTTTTTGGAGGGCTTGATTTTTTGTCTGGGTTGCATGAGCCTTCTTTTGTATTTGTGCTGGTCGTCCTCGGGCTTACGACCACAGTGGATCTCAACATTGCTGCTATTAAGTCGAGACACTTGTTAAGTTGTGCTGTGCCCCGTTTTGTGACCTCTTTAGTTAAGAGGGCATCCTGCAGTTAAGTTAGCAACACGGTTGTAAAGCGAATTGACTTTGCTTGTCGAAAGGTCGCAAAAAGGGGACCACGTGACACACACACACACACACCCCAGGGATGCGGCAAGTGTCGAAAATATGAGCCAGTTGCCACGCGTGTGAATTTTGATCACGTGACCGTGGGGATGCTGCAGTGGCCATAAGTGTGGGGAAACGGTCCTAAGTCACTTAGTTCAGTGCCGTTGTAACTTCGAACCGTCGCTAAATGAACTGTTGTAAGTTGAACATGGAGTGGCATTAAACTAGGGGTAGAAAAGGAGACTGATGACCTTAATCCCACCTGTGTTTCTTGCCTCCCTCTGCAGCACGAACGGAACGGTGATTAATAAACAGAAAGTGGTGAAGAAACAGACCTGCCCTTTGCAAACCGGGGACGTGATTTATGTTGTTTACAGGAAATTTGAGCCAGAAAACAGTAAGAGATTCTTTTTCCTTCCCCCCTTAATAGCTTTGTACAATAAGGGGAAGGGGTGGGGCAGTCAGGCCGATCTTTTCAAAGGGGAAATCTCTAACCTTTGGGTCTGCAGCTGTTGTAATTCTCTGAGACACAGGTAGTAATAATAATAATAAAGTTGGAAGGGCTTAATTAATTTTAATTAATTTAATTGCCTTATTAGAGTTAAAGTAGGTATATACTGATAGTATTATATTTGCTTAGTTAAATTGTAATTTAGATTTGGAATGATCTGTTTTAGTCCTGTATTTGGTTCCGGGAAGCTCGGGGGGGGAAGGGGTTTAGGGGTATTAAAACAAAATTGATGTATTCATATATTAATAATTGTATTGATAAGAGGAAATGCTCGGTTGGTACCCCGACTTGCACTCGAGGAGGTGGTCAGGAAGAGGGGGGATGTAGAAATGGGAAGGAGGAGAGGTTGTGGACTAGAGGTAGGAAGGAAAGGCAAGTGGACGAGGGCGGAGGCAGGTCGGGGACTGCCGAGCGTTTCCGATAATGTATTGAGTTGGATTGTTTTTTTTGTGTGTGTGTTTGTGTTATAAATGCATCATATTACTTATTGTTTAATTATAAAAATTAATAAAATTTTATTAAAAAAATAAAAATAAAATAAAGTTGGAAGGGGACCTTGGAGGTCATCTAGTCCAACCCCCTGCTCCGGCAGGAAACCCTGTACCATTTCAGACAAACGATTGTCCAATCTTTCCTTTAAAAACCTCCAGTGTTGGAGCACCCACCACCTATAAGGAGGGCCCTCTTGCTTTGATCTGTTGAGTTCAACCGTCTTCTCTTCTTTCAGACGTTGCATACCTGTATGAATCTTTGCACCCCAAAAAGGATGGAGCTAATGATCCAGGAGGTGAGTAAAGGCTAACAGCATGGAAGAATTGAGCCATGGACCCATGGTGAAACATTTCAGCTCTTCCCAGCTCTCCTGGCCTTGTTGAGGTCACGCTCTCCCTCTCTCCCTCTCCAGAAGCCAAGGTTGACAGTGGATGCCACACAACCAAAGATACCTCAGGCACCAGAGAAAGCAGGGATGGGACCTCAACAGCATCGCCACCACCGGCTTCTCAGCCAAGCTACGAAGAGCCACAGCCATCCACTTCGACGTCAAACCTCTTTAAAATTGTTCCTACCTCTCCCACTGAGTCCGTATCCACTGAGAAGGCGAAGCCCTCAATAGTTGGTAAAGGTGGAGCTGAATCATCATTTGAAAGGGTGACCATAGTATTGTTAGAGGAGGAAGGGGATGAACAGGCAAAGATTGGCTCGGGAAGTAGAGGAAGGGAACTGTTCCTCCAGAGCAGAGGTCTCCAAACGTGAGAACTTTAAGACTTGTGGACTTCAACTCCCAGAATTCCTCAGCCAGCCATGCTGATTGGGGAATTCTGGGAGTTGAAGTCCACAAAGCCCTTAAAGTTGCCAAATTTGGAGACCCCCCCTGCTCCAGAGTCCTTTGGTTGAGTCCAAAGATCCCTTTACCACCAGAGGTCTTCAAACTTGGCCCTTTTATGACTTGTGGACTTCAACTCCCAGAATTCCTCAGCCTGGCACGCTGGCTGAGGAATTCTGGGAGTTGAAGTCCACAAGTCATGAAAGGGCCACGTCTGGAAGACCCCCTGCCTTACCACGATCGTCCTTCTTTCCATGATTACAGGATCCCAATCTTGCACCTTGATTTTTGCACCTGCTTTGCTGAAATTGGTACCATCCGGACCAGAGTCATTGCTCCAACTCAGGCAGCCTCTTGTAAATACAGAAACATCTGACGCTTCTTGGAGGGACACAGAGAAAACATCCCTGTTCCAGCTTTCAGGGAGGGAAGGAAAAGATTCATCCCACCCGGTTAGGAAGAAAATCAGAAGAGGTTGGTATATGACAAAGGTTTTTTTTGTTTGTGCGTTCTGCAGTGAGGGATTTGATACCTTCTTAGCAGCAGCTAAGCTCACAGCCCTTAGAACCTGGAACATAGAAATCATAGTGTCAACGCTGCAAATACTGTATATTCTTGCTTTGACAATATGCAGAACTGTCTGGTATTTTTAGGGTTAATGCAGAGCAGAAGAGGGTGGAGGGAAAAGCCCGGGAAAGAGAGAGGAAGGAAACCTTTGACCTTCACACTAATTGGATAACGCATACCTTCGTTATGCCTGTGCCGACATTTTGTAACAATAAATTACTTTTAGGAAAATCAATGCCTGGAAGTTCTTTGAAGTGTTTCATTAGCCGGAACCATAACACATTGGGCTGGAAGGGATCTTGGAGGTCTTCTAGTCCAACTACTTACTCAAGGAAGGAGACCTTATACCAGGGGTCTTCAAACCTGGCCTTTTTATGACTTGTGGACTTCAACTCCCAGAATTCTGGCACACTGGCTGAGGAATTCTGGGAGTTGAAGTCCACAAGTCATAAAAGGGCCAAGTTTGAAGACTCCTGCTCTTGATTGTTGAGCAACAATGTGGTGGGTTCCATGCTGTCTTTGTTCTGCATGCCTTCCCCAATGTGACATAAGAACCTCTCTTGCAGATGGTGAAGCCAGCTCTGCCCTTCAGGTGGCCACCCCAGACGGACAAGCAATGAGAGACCCCCGAGATGTCAAATCAGCAACCATGAAGCCCGACAAAATGGGAGAAAGCCTGAGTTGCATCATCTGCCAGGAACTTCTTCATGACTGTGTCAGGTATAGGTGGATGGACAGAAAAGGGAGTAGTGCATAGGAGCTGGTGGCCCACTGGAGAAGGTGTGCCTTTTGGAAAACATAAAGTTAAGGAAGTTAGATGGAGGGAAAGGGCTGAACTAGCTCATTTTCTCCCCAGTAGGACTTCAAAGAGAAGTAGAGTTTGTCAGGAGAACAGTTGAGAACCTTGGTTATACCTCACCTTTGTAGCCATTGAATGTGATTGAGAGTAAACAAGGTTGCCCGGCTGCCTCTATTTTGTCTTAAAGTCCAAGAGCCAAATGTTGATTCAACTCAAGAAGCGTTGAGTTGATTCAACTCAAGAAGCGTTGAGTTGATTCAACTCAAGAAGCGTTGAGTTGATTCAACTCAAGAAGCGTTGAGTTGATTCAACTCAAGAAGCGTTGAGTTGATTCAACTCAAGAAGCGTTAAGTTGATTCAACTCAAGAAGTGGAACTCGTGTTTCTTAGGAGGAACCAGTCAGTTTTCTTGACCTAGTGACCACAGAGCTTAGAAAACCAAATGCTGGTTTACTGAGCTCTAAAGCAAAGCAACCTGTGACTTCTGAATGTTGCTTAACCACAGGTCACAGAGTCTGTAAGAAGGCTCAGTGAAGAAGACTGCTAGAAAGAGTAGCCCAGGCATATTTAGAATACCCCAAATTCTCAACTTCTGATCAAAGCTTAAAACATGCACACATGTTTTGTTTTGACTCTTTCTTCTCCTTAAGCACTCCCAACCTCCCAGCAGTTGCCCACCTCTTTCTTTATTTGGGCTATATGTCCAGTTTAGGTCCAGAACCTCTAGCTCCCTTAGGTTCTAGCTTTTTCACCTCACTTTCTATAGGGACTTTTTTTTTTTCAAAGCTTCACTTTTCCACCCATTATTCCAATTCTCCTTTGCTCTGTGGCTACTTCATCGCTCTTCTCCCTTGTTGCATCACTTCCGTGCATGAGCCATGGAACCTTCTGAAACAGGCCTTCTGGCTCAGCCAATCAGTTTCCCATTTCAGTGGACAATGCAGTGGGCATTCCTGGTGGACCACCAAGTTATACATCAGCCACATTGTGAGAGCCAGTGGGGTGTAGTGGTTAAACTGTTGGGCCAAGGTGCCTCCAGTTGAAATGGGTAGGAACAACATGAAGGAAGCTCCAGACCTCCTCAATCATGCCTGTATTTTGGTTGTGAAAATTAAATACACAGTCCATTGTACATGGCCATGACATGATTAACACGTGAGTCACCAGTGAGTACCAACTTCCCAGATTTTTTTTTAAAAAATGACTTGATTTAATAACAATAACAACAATAATAATAAAGTTGGAAGTGACCTTGGAGGTCATCTAGTCCAACCCCCTGCTCAGGCAGGAAAGCCTATACCATTTCAGACAAATGGCTGTCCAGTCTCTTCTTAATAACTTGAAGTGTTGGAGCATTCACCGCTTCTGGAGGCAGGTTGTTCCACTGGTTAATTGTTCTAATGGTCAGGAAGTTTCTCCTTAGTTCTAGGTTGCTTCTCTCCTTGATTGGTTTCCATCCATTGCTTCTTGTCCTGCCTTCAGGTGCTTTGGAGAATAGGGTGATTCCCTCTTCTTTGGGGCAGCCCCTGACATATTGGAAGGCTGCTATCATGTCACCCCTCGCCCTTCATTAAATTAGACATGCCCAATTCCAGCAACCGTTCCTTATATGTTTTAGCCTCCAGTCCCCTAATCATCTTTGTTGCTCTTCTCTGTACTCTTTCCAGAGTCTCAACATCTTTTTTTACATCGTGGTGACCAAAACTGGATGCCGCATTCCAAGTGTGGCCTTACCAAGGCCTTGTAAAGTGGTATTAACCCTTCACGTGATCTCGATTCTATCCCTCTGTTAATGCAGCCTAGCACTGGGTTGGCTTTTTTTTTTAATTTCTGAATTTTAAAATAACAGGTGACTTGTTTTGATGGTGTACGGGGATGACCTTGGGAGACGGAAGGAAGACTTGCACCTGAAGCAGCACATTTTCTTCCTATCTCCCAAGGTTTAGACTGTTGGCCAATGAGGTCCTACTTCGATTCATTCTCTCATCTTTTCTCCCCCCCACCCCCATCTTCCTGTCTTTAGTTTGCAGCCCTGTATGCATACTTTCTGTGCCGCTTGCTACTCAGGATGGATGGAACGATCTTCTCTCTGTCCGACATGTCGATGTCCAGTGGAACGGATCTGTAAAAATCACATTTTGAACAACTTGGTCGAAGCGTATCTCATCCAGCACCCAGGCACGTGAGGAGCGTGGGATCTCCGCCAGCATTCTTGTCCTTACAAGAGCAGTGTTCTATTTTTTTTTTCATTGTTACAATTTAACATGGCATGGATGCAGGGGGATGTGTGGACGGGCCACGGATCCAATGTTTTGTAATCTGGAGAGGGTTTTTTTTTAAAAAAAACAAAACAGGAAAATTGGGAATGTACAATTAGGCTCTGGAGAGCTGCCTGAACTAAACGTAATTTTTCCCGGTATAAATCTCAAAGAGTTTTCTTTAACGAGATTTGTTAAGAGGAGAGCAGGAGCAATTGGCCAGAATGCCAGCAAATGAAGTACGGAATTTCTGTTGCTAAGAAGAGGCAAAGGTTGTTGTGCCCAAATGTAGGGCCCGTGGTTGTTAAGCAAATTGTGTGATTGTTAAGCCAATCTGGCTTCCCCCCGTTGGCTTTGTTGGGAAGGGCACAAATTGTGTTCTTCTGAGCCCAGGATATTGCAAGCATCCTAAATACATGTGGCTTGCCGAGCACCTGAATTTTGATCACGTGACCCTGAGGTCATAAGTGGGTGCGACAGTCCTAAGTGTGAGGACCAGTCATGAATCAGTTTGTTAACTGTACTTTTTCAAAAATATTGAACTCATGAGCTTCTTTGGGCCTTAATCCCAAGGAAGTGCCATTGAGAAGCTAAGCAACCATTATCTATGGAGATTCTCAGTTGTCCAGATCACGGTGGTCCCAAAAGGCACTTTTTCCAAAGGAAACTTTGTTTTTCCCTGAAGACGTTTTGCTTCTCATCCATGAAGCTTCTTCAGTTCTTCTTCGCTTTCAGTCAGAACCGAAGAAGCTTTTGGGGCGAAAAGCGAAAGGTCTTCAAGTCCAGTTGCCTTTTGAAAAAGCACCTTTGGGACCGAGCATCGGTTCCGTGACCGTCTCTTCGCCCTAACAGAAATCCCTTTCTTGATAGACAAGTGTCGTAACGAAGAAGATATTAGAAGTATGGATGCCCGGAACAAAATCACTCAGGACATGCTTCAGCCGAAGGTGCGCAGATCCTTTTCAGATGAAGAAGGAAGTTCTGAAGACCTGCTGGATCTGTCGGATGTGGACAGCGAATCCTCTGATATTAGGTAAAAAGCTGTGTGGGCAGTAGATATGGCTTGGTTCTCTTACAGCCAGGCTGATGTTCTCAAATCTGTAAACAATATTCATAAAACTGGAATGTCATGGTTCCGACAGATGAAACTCTTCAAAGAACTTCGAGGCATTGTTTACCTTAACAAATCTTTATTTGAGAAGCATAGCTTCGGCACTAACACAGTCGAAGCCAAAATCTGAATTCCCCTCCCCTGAGCACATAGTATCAAAGCACAATTCCCTCCTCTAATTAGCACTCATAAATCACATTCTCCAATTAGTTTGAAATGCAGACTTTCCCTCCAGTTCTCCCACCCGCCATTTCTTATCATCTCTTATTTCAAACAACCTTGAATCATACACTACTACGATATTGTTATATCTAACTAATTCCCATACACATTCTTCCCCCCCCCCCCCCCCAGTATCATCTAATTTTAACTCTAAGAGTAATGCACAAGTTAAAGAAAAAGGCATCTCCATATGTTGTCAAAGCAAGAATATCCGATATTAGCAGCGTTGACACGGTACAGTGACTGGAGGCTGTTTGGCTGGATCAGAACTTAGCTTGTGGCAATGACCTTGTCAGTTTCAGCAACATGACTCTCCTCCTTTTTCAGTCAGCCGTATGTTTTATGCCGGCAATGTCCTGGTTATCGTCGGCAAACCGTCCCACCTCTAACCTCTCCAGACCAGGAAGGAAAAACGGAACCTGGGCAGGTCCCTGGAGATTCCCCATCAACTTCTTCCAACTTCCCAACAGGTCAGACATCTTCTGTGGTTGGAAAGGATAGGGGGACCTTGTACCTATCATAAGCATCTCAAGATCTTGGCTTCAACTGAAGCTCCTGGTTCTTCTACTGTGTGGCCCAGTCAGATGTGGGTGGGTGGGCCCTGGGCTGTTTATTCTGCCTTTGCGTGATATTTCTGATATTGCGGTATGCTGGTGTGCATTTGTGCGCTCCAGTGCTGCACACAATCCTTATTGGAAATAGTCACTTGAAGTAGAGAATGGAGATGGTTTTTTTGCAACAGCGAGGCAAGTAGGTTAGCATCTGTCAGTGGCTGGATCTGAAGTTAATTAATCAATCAGAATAGAGCTGGAAGGGACCTTGGAGGTCTTCTAGTCCAACCCCCTGCTCAAGCAGGAGACCCTACACCATTTCAGACAAGTTGACCGTCCAGTGTCTTCTTAAAAACCACCAGTGATGAAGCACCCACAACTTCTGGAGGCAAGCTGTTCCACTGGTTAATTGGAAGTTTCTCCTTAGTTCCAGGTTGCTTCTCCTCCTCAAACAGTGTTTCTCAACCTGAGCAGCTTGAAGATATGAGGACTTCAACTCCCAGAATTCCCCAGTCCTCATCTGGGCGTTGAAGTCCAGTCACTTTCAAACTGCCAAGGTTGAGAAACACTGTTCTGGAGGACAATGCGTTTTGGGAAAGGGTTGGGTCCCTAGTTTCCTAGTCTTTCTCTCTCCTACATGTGGGCCAATAATTCAGGGGAGAAATGCATCCAGTGGCATTAAGAAACTCTTTGGGGTCTTCTGGGGAGACAACTGGCAGTATCCAAATGGAGTCTGTCACCAGGATCAAAGTTTTATCCTTCCAAACTTTTACGCCCATCATCAGGGAACTTATCTCTAGCACCGGGGTCTTCAAACTTGGCCCTTTGATGACTTGTGGACTTCAACTCCCAGAATTCCTCAGCCAGCGTGCCTGGCTGAGGAATTCTGGGAGTTGAAGTCCACAAGTCATCAAAGGGCCAAGTTTGAAGACCCCTGCTCTAGCAGAATGCATGCACTTGAATACGTGCAAGTTGAATTCTGGTTGAGGATGGACGTCTTGGAGGTGGTTTTGGGACCTTCTTCCCTAGCAATACTCCAGACCTTTTCCTGGATGACAAGGAAGTACAGATAGAAACTTGACTCGGTCTTTCAGGAGAGAGTTTTTAAAATGCACTGAGAGATACATTCAATGAGCTGATGTCAAGAGTGAAAATTTGGTAGCTATGTGCCTCTTTGTTTTTATCTTGCTGAGACAAACTGGAAACTTTTCAAGGACATTCTAGCGGGTGTGAAGAAGATAACAGACAGTTCTCATAAAACAAAGAGAGTCGGTTCACATGAGCTACGTGGACATCTGAGGGGCTGGGGTGGGAATGTCATTGTTATATACTATTGTTGGAGGCCTTGGGATTTTAGAGTTGGTTTTCCTTCGCCTACATCATGCCGTGTATTCAATAAACCAGTACGTTTTTCAGCAACGGAAGTAATCGTGGACTTTATTTGAATATTCGAGCTGAAGGTTGACAGCTGATGTGTACAGTGTTTAGGATCTTTTGTGGTCTAAAGCAGAGATCCCCAACCTTGGCAACTTAAGATTTGTGGACTTCAACTCCCAGAATTCCTCAGCCAGCTTGGCTGGCTGAGGAATTCTGAGAGTTGAAGTCCACAAGTCTTACAGTTGCCCAAGTTGAAGACCCCTGTTCTAAAGTGTAAATAAATAACCAACTATGATCTGTAGGCCACTTGCCTCTCTTCTTCAGTTGTCCTACTTAGACCCTCAGACCTTCTGCTCTTAGATCAGACCAGGCTGAGGGCAGGAAGGCGCATATCAGCCACTTTGGCGCGTATCAGCCACTTTGTGAAGCTTCTGAGAAATTTTCCTGCAAGGTGACCTGTTTTGCACAACCTGTTCTTGGTAATTTCTCCCTATGCAGCAGTCCAGGAATATGTCTGCCCAGCTCAAGGAAGCCACATCTTCTGCACTTGCTGTTTCCAGCCCATGCCGGACCGTAGGACAGAACGGGAACACAACCAGAACATCGCCCCACAGCAGTGTAAGCAAGAACTTCCCCGGGGGAACGGGTGGGCCTTTCAGCCTGACCAAAAATGGAGTGGAAGGAGAAGCAGATGCCTTGAACACCATCATGGCTGGTCAGCCCAACTTCATCTGCTTCTACTCCATCTGTGGTCAGATCTTTAGTTAGAGCCAGGTCTAGTGGTTAAAGCACCAGGCTAGAAAGCCAGGAGATGGTCAGTTCTAGTCCCGCCTTAGCCATAAAAGCCAGCTAGGTGACTTTGGGCCCCCCACTAGGAGATGGTGAGTTCCAGTCCTGCCCTAGGCATGAAAACTGGCTAGGTGACTTTGGGCCGATCACCAGGAGATGGTGAGTTCTAGTCCCGCCTTAGCCATAAAAGCCAGCTAGGTGACTTTGGGCCACCCACCAGGAGATGGTGAGTTCCAGTCCTGCCCTAGGCATGAAAACTGGCTAGGTGACTTTGGGCCAATTACCAGGAGATGGTGAGTTCTAGTCCTGCCTTAGCCATAATAGCCAGCTAGGTGACTTTGGGCCACCCACCAGGAGATGGTGAGTTCCAGTCCTGCCCTAGGCATGAAAACTGGCTAGGTGACTTTGGACCTATCACCAGGAGATGGTGAGTTCTAGTCCCACCTTAGCCATAATAGCCAGCTAGGTGACTTTGGGCCCCCCAGCAGGAGAAGGTGAGTTCCAGTCCTGCCCTAGGCATGAAAACTGGCTAGGTGACTTTGGACCAATCACCAGGAGACTGGGAGTTCTAGTCCCGCCTTAGGCCTGAAATTTTGATGACGGAAGGGTTTTTTCAATCCACGATTTCTTTGGCAGAAAATTGAGCCAATGGTCTATTCTATAAATTTTTCCTTTCCATATTCACAGGTACCATTTGTCTGCAGTCCTTCTGTCATCTGTACTGGGGATGTGTCCGTGTGTCCTGCTTGGGCTGTTTAGCCCCATTCTGCGGTATGATCCTGTTTTGCAATCGTCCTCTCTTTCCCCTTGCAAACAACCATACTCTGTTGTGATTGATTGATGCTTTTTAATATTCTTTCTCTTCTCGGGGTCCAGCCTGTCTCCTGCAAGAGGCAGTTGGCTTCCCAGGAGTAAGGCTTTCCCGTAAATAAAACTAGTTAAATGAAGTAAATAGAATCCCTGTTCCTTAATCTAGGATAATATAGCAGTGGCATCTGCTTTGGGAAACCTCAGCTCAGTCCTAAGAGATCCTGCTTAATTTGGTGAATACTTTGCAGCCACTTCAGAGCGGTAATAATGTCCCTTATTTTTGTTTCTTTTTTAAACAGAGCTCAATCTTGGTGACAAGTGTTTAGACGGCGTTCTTAATGGCAATAACTACGAGTCAGATATTCTAAAGGTACGGCCAGTTTCCAACAAGTTGTTGTTGTTGTTGTTGTTGTTGTTGTTGTTGTTGTTCTTCTTCTTCTTCTTCTTCTTCTTCTTCTTCTCCTCCTCCTTCTCCTTCTCCTCCTTCTTCCTCCTCCTCCTCCTCCTCCTCCTCCTCCTCCTCCTCCTCCTTCTTCTTCTTCTTCTTCTTCTTCTTCTTCTGTGTTTTAGGAACTTGTCACTTTCATTCTCACACTTTCCCCAGCAGCTTCAAATCTCTGCTTGAGGTTCTTCTGAATGTTTTTTTAATTTTATATTGTCTCCTCTTCTAGGATTACTTGCAATCCAGGGGGTTGACCTGGAAAGACATGCTGAACAAGAGCCTCCTAGCTCTTCAAAAAGGAACGTTTATTTTACCAGGTAAATCTTGATCCCCTCCAATCGCATATTCCTGAGACATTTTTTCCCCCTGGATTTTGCTTCTGTTTACTCCAAGTGTTGACACTACTTTGTAATGCCTTGGTAAGACCACACTTGGAATGTTGCGTCCAGCTTTGGTTGCTAAGATATAAAAAAGATGTCGAGACTCTAGAAAGAGGACAGAGAAGAGCAACAAAGATGATTAGGGGACTGGAGGCTAAAACATATAAAAGGAACGGTTGCTGGAATTGGGTACGTCTAGTTTAATGAAGAGAAGGACGAGGGGGGACATGATAGCAGTGTTCCAGTATCTCAGGGGCTGCCCCAGAGAAGAGGGAGTCAAGCTATTTTCCATAGCGCCTGAAGGGCAGGACAAGAAGCAACGGATGGAAACTAATCAAGGAGAGAAGCAACCTAGAACTAAGGAGGAACTTCCTGACAGTTAGAACAATTAACCAGTGGAACAACCTGCCTCCAGAAGCGGTGAATGCTCCAACACTGGAAATTTTTAAGAAGAGACTGGATCAGCCATTTGTCTAAATTGGTATTAGGTTTCCTGCCTGAGCAAGGGGTTGGACTAGATGACCTCCAAGTCTCCTTCTAACTCTGTTATTCAAGTATTTGCAGGCTCACAAGGACACACATCCTGAGCCCTGAGATCAAACACCTCCCGAACTCCTTGTGAGGGGTTCATTCTTCAAAGGGTTCATTCTCTTCATAACCCACCACCCCAATTTTCTCTTTCAGATTACCGAATCACGGGAGAAACGGTGCTGTGTTATTTTTGCGGCCTACGGACTTTCCGGGAACTCGCTTACCAATACAGGCAAAATATTCCTGCTGTGGAATTGCCAGGTACGAGGCGAACAATCCAGGCCCTCGCAGAGCGATGCAGCCTTGACTCATTCCTGCTTCCCCTCCGAGAAAAAAATGAAATATTGAAACACGTTGTGTAAAGGAGTCCGAGGACAGAGCAGTATTTCTCGACCTCAGCACCCCTTACCAAATTTCCCTGGCTTTTAAATTATTATTATTATTTTTTAAATTAAATTTCACAATGCAGGTAGTTCTCGACGTTCAAAGTTACGACGGCGGTTTGCAAACGGTCCTCGCCCTTAACGACCGTCTCAGCACATTCCCCACGGTCACGGGGTCAAGATTGGAATTTTGATCGTGTGACCGTGGGGATGTTATGACGGTCATAAAGGCGAGGACCGCTTGCGAGTCTTTTTTTTTCCATGCCGTTTTATCATTTTGTTTGTATATCAACGTTCCTAACCACCCATAGAGTAGAGGGGCTCTGGGCAGTGGTTTAATTTTTAACTTTTCAAAGTTTTAATTTTTAATTTAATTTTAATTAATTTAATTTAATTTAAATTTGAACTGCTAAACCAGGGGTAGGCCACCTTGGCTCTTTTATGACTCGTGGACTTCAACTCCCAGAATTCCTGAGCCAGCATGGGGGAACTATGGCCCCTTCATGACTCGTGGACTTCAACTCCCAGAATTCCTGAGCCGGCATGGCTCAGCTTGGAAACCTCTCCCTTTCCCCTCAGCATGGCTGGCTGAGGAATTCTGGGAGTTGAAGTCCACGAGCCATAAAAGAGCCAAGGTTGCCTACCCCTGTGCTAAACCAATGGTTGTAATACAACTTTCCATTTTTGCACATGCAGAATTCTCTCTGCAGTCAACATATCCCATAACAAGGTTCCAGATTTGTTTTTTTTTTCCAAGTTCCTAGTCCACTAGTCCTAAAACAGAAGTCTCTTACTTTCAGTTTGATATTCCTTTCAAGAATCTTCTGTGTTAAAATCCGGCCCCTGATATTATTTTGCCTTATCACAACTCCACCAAAGATCAAATCCCCTGAGCTTTCGATCCGTCTCGGGCCAGGCATGAACTCTGAGTGGGTTTTGTCTTGCAGCCGCTGTCACATCCCGTCCCGATTGTTACTGGGGTCGCAACTGTCGGACTCAGGTGAAAGCTCACCATGCTATGTGAGTGGTCCTCTCTTCAAGCTCCGAGTCTGCAGGCCGGTTTATAGATAGCAGGGGCAAAAGAGATGTATTTTCTCTCCTGGGGTGGATAAAATTCTGTTGCTAATCTGTTTATCTAGCTCAAATCAATAGATTTTATCTATCAAATGTATTAATTAGAACGGCCTGGAGTGAAGCTTTGTCTATCTTTCTGTCTATCTATGTCATTCATCTATCTATGCCATTTATATCTATCTGTCTATTTGTCTATCCTATCTGTCTATCCTATCTATCTATCTATCTATCTATGTCTGTCTGTCTGTCTGTCTGTCTGTCTGTCTGTCTATCCTATCTATCTGTCTATTCTATCTATCTGTCTATCTGTCTCTGTCTATCTGTCTGTCTATCCTATCTGTCTTATCTATCTGTGTATCTATCTATGTTATCTGTCTGTCTGTCTATCTATCTATCTATCTATCTATGTCTGTCTGTCTGTCTGTCTGTCTGTCTGTCTGTCTATCCTATCTATCTGTCTGTCTGTCTATTCTATCTATCTGTCTATTCTATCTATCTGTCTATTCTGTCTATCTGTCTCTGTCTATCCTATCTGTCTTATCTATCTGTGTATCTATCTATGTTATCTATCTGTCTATCTATCTATCTATCTATCTATCTATCTATCTATCTATCTATCTATCTATCTATCTATCTATCTATCTATCTATCTATCTTTGTCTGTCTGTCTGTCCTGTCTGTCTATCTGTCTATTCTACCTATCTGTCTGTCTATCTATCTCTGTCTATCCTATCCCTATCTATCTATCTATCTATCTATCTATCTATCTATCTATCTATCTATCTATCTATCTATCAAATCTATCAATCAAATTGATTGGCAGTTCTTGGCAGACTGCCCTGGCTGTTTCATTGGGCAGGCTTTAGTTATTAAGCTTAGTAGTGGTATGCAAACTATTTTCAGCTGTTCCAGTCTTGGCAGAAGTATTCTGAGCTCAGAATGGGTCTAGAATCGAAGAGATGAATTAAGAGGTGCCAAATGTTTGGAGGCCCCCAGGGGATTAATTAGGAGACCGAGCTGCTTTTCTTTGTTGAAAATCGCTTTCATGTGACGTTCAAAAAAAATAGTAACTTTCCCTTCTTGGGTTTTTAATTTCAGGAAGTTTAATCACATCTGTGAACAAACACGGTTCAAAAACTGAGAAGGATCCCCCCTCCCCCCCGTGGCCTTTAACTGGGTCTCCGTGCTTGTAACCTGCAACGAAGAAGGGGGAAATTAAACCCAGAAACGCCAACTCTACAGTTTTTGCTTGGTGGTTCCTGCAAAAAAGGGGATTGGCAACTTTTTCCATCAGATACTCTGATGCGATAGCGTGCTTTTTTTTTTCTTTTCTTCTTACGATTATTATTTTGTCATTTTTTTTTCCTGTGTTCTCCTCGGCTTTTTTTTTTTTTTTTTAAAAAGTGGTTTCCTAAATTTGAGCTACTGTAGGAATTTAAGGAATTTAACGAGGCTGGAAGGTAGAAATGGAACAGTTCTCGGTGAATGTGTCGATTGTGGAATGAAGCGAGGCCTTAACGGAGAAGGTGAGAAGGCAACGTAGAGCGAAGGACGGCAGGAGAGAAGTACCTCTTTGGTTCCTAGTTGGGCTGTGCCCTGCGTCTTGTCAAGTTCTTGGAGCAACACAACATCTTGCCTGAATTAATGGCCTCAACGTCTTGGCTCCCAGGTCAAAGATCACAGCTGGATTGACCAAGGTCTGTCCAATACCAAGCACCGACCCCTGAAGTGTTTCTCAGCCTTGGGCACAATAACACGAGGACTACAATTCCCAGACTTCCCCAGCCAGCCATGTTGGCTGAGGGACTCTGGGAGTTGAAGTCCACCCGGCTAAAAATGGCCCGGGTTGAGAAACGCCACCTTAGGGTGTCTTGTTCTTTCTTGTCACACTCCACGCGTATTTCTTAAATGCTGCTCACCAGCTGGTGCCGTTGACCTAGCCTCTTTTGATAGGAAAGATCCAGTTGTTTCATCCTTTTTTTCTTTTTATTCAATCTTTTTTCCCCTTCCTTGGGATCCTCTTGTTTCTTTTCCCCCTGCTCAATTCTAGGATTCAGACTGGTGCTATCTTGAGCTGAATTTCACCTCTGGATCCACAAGAAAGTCTCCCCCCCCAGGAGTTCCTGTTCTTAGCAATTGGGAGTTATGCTTCAAAACAACTATGCATTTTCCCCCCTCTTACTAATCAAATTCCACTAGAAGTTTCTTTTTTAAAATATCCCCTCACGATAAAGAAGGCCTCATGATGGAATGGAATTTGGCATCCTCCAATGGATGTTGAAGACTTTTCAATACTGTTGCTCAGGCTAGCACATTAATATGGCCAGCTTTTATCCTGATCACTCAAGGACTATTCCTGAACTGGGTGGTTTTTTTTTGTCCCTAAAATGGAGCAGCACCATTAGTTTTGGAGAATGGTAGACAGGCGAACGTGTCTCTGCATATATCCATCATTCATTTTCTTTATCATGTCGGAGTGTAACCTCTCTCCTAACTTAATTTTTTAAAGCTAACCTCTTGACCATCAACTACACACAATGGATCCCTTACCTAACCAGCTTTTGAAATTTAGTTCTGCTTCCATTCTTGGGCAGATTTTAAGACAAGAGCCCTTAGGAAGACTGGAGAAAGATGGTCGGGGTTTTTTCCCTCTTCTGACAACTTCCCCATGTTGATTAAATTCAGCCATAACTGTATCCAAAATGGATCTTATCCCACCTGGTGCCCTTCAGACGTGTTGGGATTCCATGAACCAGAATCCTGAGGATGGGTTAACCATGGCAGGGACGGCTAATCAATTTGTAAGTTTGCAATCTCAAAACTTAACAGAAGGCATCAGACTGGGGCCCGTTTTTGTACAGTCTTCCCATTGCTTAAAAAATATTTGCATTTATGTACTGGTTCCATAGCCAGGATCTTGTCTTCCTTTCTAGCAGTGTTTCTCAACCTCAGCAACTTTAAGATGGGTGGACTTCCCAGAATCCCCCAGCCAGTTTGCTGGCTGGGGGATTCTGGGAGTTGGAAGTCCACCCATCTTAAAAGTTGCCGAAGTTAAGAAACGCAACTTTATAGTAATAGTGGCCTGATTCCAAACCATTCAAATTATGGGCTTCTGTCTATGCCCTCCAAATTAAGGGGGATTTAACAGAATACTGTGCTGGGCACAATGCCTAAAAACCTACATTATATTTTTATGTACTGAAATAGTAATCTTTCAGAGCTGGGTCTTCAAGAGCTAATTGGGGAGTGGTCCAAAAAGAAAGCCACAGGCCCCTCCGGGATTTAATGCCCTTTATAGTTTATGTTAAAGATGGTTAGTGAAGATGGTTTGTTTTCTCTCTCTAGACTTCAGTCTTTCGCTCTCCACTTTAAAAAATATAGAGCTTCCGACGTTATCTCAAAACTTGACAACTTTTAAGACTTGTGGGTTTCGATTTCTCCATGCTGGGGAATCCTGGGAATTGAAGTCCACAAGTCTTAAAATTGCCAGGTTTGGAGACCCCTGCTAACTGGGTCTAATCATGAGCCTGTTTCAGTAAAAAACCCACTTCGGCAGAGCCGCGGCTCATATTCACAAACCATTAAGTGGACTACTAGACATACCCTCTCTGCCTCTGAGACTTCCACGCTGGCTGCAGGAGAATTACAAAAACCTTGCAGTCATCAAAGTTCGCATGGAGCTGTTGCCGCGACGGGTGCGTTTTCCTGTCTCAGGGAATGGAGAAACAAAGGGGGCTGAAAAACCGTACAGAGCCATGTCAGTTTCTCCCAGGTTAGTTTCTGGATAGGCCAGGTGTGGTGGCCAGGTGGCTTCTCCCCTTCCAAACAGAAAAAGGAGAGAGAAGAGAATTTGGTTTTCGTCTCTCCGTTGACATCCCCCTCCACTGCCATGGCTCTCCATAGCTCACCCAAATGTAAATAGAAGAATTAAAAACTGCGGTTTGTTTTCCCCCAACTAAATTTACCCCTTCCTTCCTTCCTTCCTTCCTTCCTTCCTTCCTTCCTTCCTTCCTTCCTTCCTTCCTTCCAATCATACAAGTGTCTTCCAGGGGGATTTAAGAGTGTTCACTCCACACGGTTGGGTCTTCAAAACGTTTGTTATCTGCTCCAAGGAGAAATGTTTTCAGCTTTTGTTTTCTTTGTACGCAAGACGATGGCTTGGAAATGGGGGAAGAAAAGAATTCCGATAACTTGTTGGGCTTGGGGGTTCATGATTTATCTTTGGAAAAATATTAAAATGCACAATGTCAGACTTTTTTGCTTCGCTTGTCTTCAGAGATCAGCTCAGATTGGCCCATAAGCCGAGGTTGGCTTAATTGGGAGACCTTAAATGTGGCCTTGGCAGGTGCATTCCCGACCAATTTCCAACCGTGTTACTGCGTGATTGATGAAAAAACAAAGGGGTATCCCCAATAATATTGGCTTTGTAGACTTAGCCAATGGGAAGGAGCATCCTTGCTCTGCGGATAAGAAGACCGCCTTATGAGTACAGGTAGTCCTTGACTTATAACCCCATTTGAGCCCAACATTTTTGTTGCTAAGCAAAATAGGGGGCAAAACTGGAGTCGTTTTGCCCCATTTTACGACTTCTCTTGTCAAAAGTGTTAAGTGAATCTGGCTTTTCCCCATTGACTTGGCTTGTCAGAAAGTTGCAAAAGGGGGATCACGTGACACACACACACACACCCCAGGACACTGCAACAGTCATAAATGTGAATCAGTTGCCAAGCATCCAAAATTTTGATCAGGTGACTATGGGGATACTGCAATGGTCGTTAAGCGTGAACAGCTGCCGTAAGTCCCTTTTTTTTCAGTGCCGTTTGCAACTTTCAGCAGTCACTGAACGAACTGTTGTAAGTTGAGGACTATCTGTAATAAGAAAGGGAATTCTTGGCTGTCCCACCCACCACGACGGATCTGTCTGTTGATGCTAAAATTTAATTCTGTCGCTGTTGCCTCCGTTTTACAAAAGAGTAAATCAGAGGTAGGCGCTTCCAGAGGTTTAGGAAAATCTTTCATCCTTATCAAGAATGAAACCAGCATCTCATCCCTTCCAACATCATTATTATTATTGATCATCGCACAGTCAGCCAGATGTTCAGACTGGATTTGGCCTTTTTGTCTACCTATCGAGTCCTTCCCAAGGACCTGGGATAGGCAGATGTGGATGTTTGATGGTATTACAGATGGAAGCAGTTCCTAGTAAGGCTGCCTTTTGCAATTGACTAATGGTGAAGTTGTCAATGCCAATGGTGTCCAAGTGCTGCTCCAGTTGTTTTGGGATTGCACCCAAGGTGCCTATTACTATTGGTACTACCCTTGCTTGCTTTTGCCACAGTCTTTCTAATATTATTATTATTATTATTATTTGCACTGCATTCCATTCATCCATGTTTAAAATTACAACAGCACTGAAAAATGTGACTTATGAATAGTCCTCCCTTAATGAACATCAATCAGAATAGAACTGCAAGGGACCTTGGAGGTCTTCTAGTCCAACCCCTGCTCAAGCAGGAAACCCTGTACCAGTTCAGACAAGTGGCTGTCCAGTCTCTTCTTAAAAGTTGGAGCACCTACAACTTCTGGAGGCAGGTTGTTCCACTGGTTAATTGTTCTAACTATCAATAGGTTTCTCCTTAGTTCCAGGTTGCTTCTCTCCTTGATTAGTTTCCATCCGTTACTTCTTGTCCTGCCTTCTGATGCTTTGGCTCCCAACTTTTTCTATATCCCGCGCCCCTAAAATGCTTCTGATATATTCTCGCACCTCTTACAAAAGTTCAAAATAATGGCAATGAATTATGCATATACACTATAATTTTGAAAACTCCAAGTTTTTGCACCCCCTGGAATATCGTCTTGCGCCCCCGGTTGGGAACCCCTGCTTTGGAGAATAGCTTGACTCCCTCTTCGTTGCGTCAGCCCCTCCAATACTGGAATACTGCTATCGTGTCACCCCTAGTCCTTCACAACATCCCCACGTTCGCGTGATCAAAATTTGGGTGTTTGGCAACTGGCATGTATTGCAGCATCCCATGTATCGCGATCCCCATTTGCGACTTTCCTAGCCAACTTCCCATAAGCAGAGTCGATGAAGTCAGATTTAACAACTGCACAATTCATTTAACCACAGTTGTTTCCTTAACAACAGCAAAAAAA